AGACATAGGTGACTTTGGGATGAGGTGGCAGAGCCTATGTGGGGCTTACAGTCCCTGCTGAGCCCTTGGTGCTACCAAGGGTACCAGGGACTAACAAGGACTTGGTGGCTGCTGGGATAGTGAACATAAACCTGACCTGTAGGTGATCCTTTCTGCTGACATTTCTCATCTATTGGTCTATTGATCAGGTGAAAGTTCTGTGTGGGTCTGCCAGGCCTTGTCTTCAGTGGCAAAGGGATGTTCTACTTTTATCTGCTTAATTTCTCGACATAAACTCTACAAAAGATTGAAAATAAAAAGGACAGTTTAGCACCAGTTAAAATGTATGCACTATTGGTATATGGGCTTTTTACCTCAACCAGCTGCATGCTAAGGTAGAACCTCCAAAGCCTTGTCTTCTCTGGGGAGTCATACTGAGGGCACTTGCCTAATGTGGTGCTCTGTACACACTCTGTCTTTTGGTGTTAAGACAAAAATGCAACTATGTACAAAAGTAAAATACAAAAGCAGAATGAACAAAAAATGCAAGATATGGTTTATTTCTCAATTATTTTGTAACTACATAATATTAACAAGACAAAAATGTTGTTTTGGAAAGGACAGTGAAAAACTACAGAAGTAATTGAGGCAAGGTCAAATAGTAATCTCACATTTTCTGCTAGCAGTTGCTGAATATGACCTACACATGCTGTGACTTGTGTAAATCAGTTTTTAGCTAAACTTTCCTATTCATAAGTTGTGGCTGCAAAAAAAGCCTGCACTGTTCCTTTCCCTTAGTGTCCTCTTTCACACACACTTTTGTGTTTGGCAAACCACTTTTTTAAATACACCAAGTTATCTCTATGTCTTTTATAGAGTACAATATTCTTGCACATCCACAGGCAACTCTATAGGAAAGTGATTTTAATACACTGCTGTGGTATTGGTGGCTTCTCAGACTGGCACTTGATGCTTTAATTCATTTTTTCTTGCTTTTTTTTCTATTACTTAATGAAAATATGCCCTATCAAGATTTATTTATTGGAATGCTATCAAAGTACTTTTTACTTGCAGCATTTTCACTAATTTATTATCACAACATTATTCATAATTATGATCATAATTATTATTTGTATTATCTTATGAAAACCTATTTTGCTTTTGTCTGAGTAGATGCTGGTATCCAGCGTTAATGTTCTATTTTATGGTTTTTTTCATCCTCATGTGTGTGCCAGGTGCTGGAAAAGCAAGTACAAAGACAGGTCCTTGCCCTGTTGCACATCCTCAGCAAGAGAGGACAGTGAGGAAAGGAGTTCACAGCTAAGCAGTTGCATACATCTGCTCTGAGTAGCCACAATAATTTTGGTATTGTTGCAGCTTTTTAATACATATTTCACTGGTGAAATTTTGAACTGATAAATCTTTTTCATAAGATGATGGGAAGGTGCTGTGTGTTATGCTGAAGTCTGTGACCCTTGCCATTTTATGAATAAAAGTGACAAGAAGCCTCTTGCCTCACTCAATAAAATGATCAATCACAACAGTGATTTACCAATTTCGTATGTCTTTATCTACATCAGGGTTCCCTCTAGGAACATGTGCTGTTATCAGTCAGTGAGAAATGCAGTGCAGATACTGGATAGAAATGCAGTTTCCAACAAAAATGATTTCCACCTAGAAATGGATTTTAGGGCAATTTGGCGATCAGGAATGCAGTATTAATATTGAATCTTATAGCTTTTATTCACATATTTGTTGACATGTTTTCTGGTAATGAGCAGCTTATGTAAGAATGGTGTAATGATTGTAAATGGAGTTCAGGAAGAGGGTCAGAATCACAGCAGTCTCTTCCTGCTACTCAGCACCTAGTATCACCTCTATTTGCAAATTCAGTCTAATGACTCACAAGCACAGGAAGCCATAAACAAAAAGGTATAAAAAGAGGGCTCTTGGAATGTACTGGGAAAATATCAGAAATTATCATTTCTGTTGTGATGTCTGTCTTAAGGATTATATTAATAATACCAGTAGTAATAATGTAATAACAATAATAGCAATATATCTCCAGGTATAGAGAGCATCCAGAAGGATTCATCTTGTGTAGCTTTGGAAGTTTACACTGGAATGGATGCTCCTAGTGTAGATTGTTCAGGTCAGGTTTAGATGATTGCTTCTGGATGATACAACTTGTGTTGTGGCAGCAGCTTGGTTAAAATAATGTCTAGAAAACTACTTCAGATGTAGAAGCCAATACAACAGGTGAGTAAAGATTGGTAAAAGGAGTCTCATCTCCAGAGCTAATTGCCATCTTTAGTTTCCTAATCAGCTCTCTATAGGGAGCCTTTGTAAGCTCTCAAAAATACATGTTTTATGTATAAGCAACTTTATATTCTGGATATGGGTAAGGAGGTGAGAAAACTTCACTTAAATCTGCTGAGAGCCTCATTCCATTAATTGTGCTCTTGATTACATGTTACATGGCCACCATAAGCACAACTATCATAATTTTCCTTTTTAAAAACACAGTTGAAAAGATCATTCAAACTTAGCTTAAGCACTCTGGATACTCTGATGGTGGCAAGTAAAAAAATTTTAGGATTTATGATAATACTATGTTTTCTCATCCTAAATAGATACTCATCAACATAATACGCATCAATACAGAAATATGTTGATAGTTAAATAGGCCATTGCAACTATTTGCCTTTGTCTGGTTCCACTTGATAGCCTCAAGTTTTTGTCTTCAGGACAGAGACTGATATAGTAATTCTAAAAAAAAGCTGGGGAGGGAGTCAATCTATTAAGGACAGGAACCAGTGCCTAGTGCTACAAGGTGTATTGAAATGTATTTGTTATCTTAAATTTGGTTATGATAATAAGACCTGAGAGTATCTGCTTGGTTTAAAGAGAAGGCAGAGCACTGTTACTCAGCAGTCTCAAGGACTAGCTCTGTGTGAATAGTAGGAGTTTAATGTTAGTTTCTAAATTATACCATAGATGTTTAGAAGATACATTTTATAACTTTACAAGTTTGGGATTCCAGAAAGCTAATTTTTCATGTCCTCATCTTGCTCTTCTCCTAAATTATTTCAGTGATATTGGTAATAAATTTGATTTTAGTCACTGTTGGACAGATGTGTGGCTGTTTTGATGAATACTGTATGAACATACATATACATGTGCATTCCCCTATGCTTATTACAATATTTGAATGAGTGCTGATATGTGCAAATCATTGTCCTCTGTATAAAGATATTTTGAAGCCTGGATGAGTGGAATGTTTTTCTATAAAAATAGCCTATTTAAATCCAATTAGAGCGTCTTGTTGTTTCTATAGTTATGCAAATATATTGCACCTTTAAACAATGCCTTGCACGAAGTGATGTTGAGATTGGATCACTCATAGCACCTAAGCACTATTAAGTGATTGTCCTTTATCATGCAGTATAGTGTTTTATTGATGTGTGTGGTGTGGTAGGTATACATACTTCTTCATTGTAATGTGTGGGCCCAGTATTAGCCAGTAAGAACAATGTATTATGCAAAAAGTAAGAAGAATCTTTTGAAAATGCCTACTGTATTATCCAGAGGAATTAGCATTTGCTAGATTGCCAGTCAGCCAAGGTTTTACAAGAGTTATTGTCATTTTGATTTTCGGATGAGTCACTTGCTACATTGCCCCCAAAGGCACCTCGTTATGATTCAGTGCACAGCATATAAAATTGCTTAGGCTTTCGGGGCTCCGTGGAAAGCGAGTGGGGGTTGCGGTGGCTCAGCGTTGTGAAGCAGCAGCATTATGCTTAATTGACACCTTTGATGTAGCCCTAAGACAGCACCTGCACCTCCCACTGCTGCTCTGAAGACGTCAGCCTTACGCAGAAAAGGCTTCTGCTTATGAATCCTGCATCGCATTCAGCTCACTCTGTGAGCAGCCCCAGCTATCCTTAACTAATCCCATTGCTTCTCAGTTTGGCTACAGCTTGGCTTAGTACAGAGCAGGAATTTTGCTGCTTGCTCTTATCAAGTTAAACAGTCAGATTTTGTCCATGTTAGAACTCATAGAAGGTAAGTCAGATGCCTTGTTGATATCCTTAGTATGTAAATATTCTCCTGAGATGCAGAATCTAGGAATCTGATTGTTCTTTTTGTCCTAGCACTTTACAAATGTAGACTCTGATAGAATACTTGCTTGTTTAAGAATATGTACATGTATAAGTGATACATGCTTTGTAGTGTTTCTGTCAGTGCTTCAATGTGAATATTATTGATAGCATCTCGTGTGATTACTTTGTAGTAGAATTCTGTCCTCTGCTGGCATTGTTTTGTTAATTTATTGGATAATGTCATGTGCATGTGAAGATGCTTCTATAAAGATAGGCACTAACATATGTGAAGAGACTTGCTTATTTGAGAGAGTGATGCTTTCTTGTAAGCCAGACTGGAGTAGTTATATCCAATTCATTTGCCTCCAGAAAGCATTTCTGGGTTAAGTCTGAGGTGGTGTTTGGGTCAGATACTATTGCAAAAATCTCTTCAAATGGTTGAGTCCTCACTCAAAAAGTGAAAAGCAGGCAGCTGATTTGTTCTTGCAAGCAATACTGTGTTTTATTTTTAGTGGGCAGCACTTCAAGCCATAGTTAAATGGAATTAAAAGGTTTATATATTTTGTCTTTTAAGGTTAACAAAGCACCTTGCTCCCCATTACTTGCAGCAGTGGTAGTGCTTTACTTTCAGTAAAGTATAGGAACAATGCAGTTCAAGAAAACATGATCATGTTCTCTGCCATGACTAAAGTCTTCTCAGGTTTTTTCATTGTTTGCTTTCACCCTGTATTAAAAATTGTCTACATGAGCCAAAAATGTAAGGAAATAATTTTTTTTAAATTACCTTATTTAATGCTTCAAACACTAAGCAAAAGGAAATTAATCTGTTCAACAGAGACTGAAGAAAAATGTTGATTTAAATATTTTTTCCTTTAATAATGCCTTGTATTCATTTTTTTCAATTTCTTGTCCTTTTAGTGAATGGAACCCCTGGTAGCCAACTTTCTACTCCCCGCTCTGGAAAGTCTCCAAGCCCATCTCCCACCAGCCCAGGAAGCCTACGCAAACAGAGGGTAAGGAAATAAGGAAACTGATTTCTGAGCATGGCTGGGGAGAATCCGGCATAGCCATTATCCAATAGCCTTCTCCCTTCTGATCCCTTGCGTGTGTGTAGAGCTATAGGGTGGAAGAGCCTGGCTACAATCCTTGTATTTGTAAAATACCCTGAAGTGGAATACAATTGTTCTGTGACTGTCAAAACGCTAAGTATACTGAGAACTGGTTTATCCTTGGGGGAAAAAAGCAGGGTTTCTCTCCTTTTTCACAAAACTTTTTGTTTGTTTTACTTTCTTTTTCCAAATATTTCACAACTGAAAGAAAATGCGAAAGAAATCTCTTTTGTTCCTAACTCGCTGTGGGCATTGTCACTTGCACAAGCTACAGACTGCTTTGATTTTGAAGCAAGGTGAAAGAATGCATGGTGGAATTTAGCTGTGATATCACAGCCTTGTGCAGTGAAGATACTATCAGCACCAAGCCAAGTGAGACCTGTCTGTCACTTTCCTGGACCAGAGTTGATAGTAGCTTTAGGTTCCCCCAAGTTATCCTGTATGGAGGAATCTACAGTATTCCTAAGCATCCAGAACTAAGCCAATGCCCATGTTACTACTGTAACCCTCTGATAAAATATTACTCATTCAACCCAAAAGCCCCACATGCTGATAGAATTAATTTTATCTGTTTAAAATAAATAAGATGGATGTCTATGTATTTTCTGCTATTTTTCTAAACTGTGGTCAGTTCTCAATGAAAGCATCCCTGAGGCAGTAATCTGTATCTCAGATTTGTTTATAAACAGAGTTTGAACACATGCTTTTTCTGCCTTTTCAGCTTTTAAACAAAGACACAATTTATGTCTCTCAAAATAAGGGGATTATGTACGAAATTGGCAGTGCTTGACTTTAGGAGCTGGTGCAGACCTGATTCCCCAGATACCCAGGTCAGGAATAGCTGTAGCGTGACACAATTCCCTTCTAGCCTGCAGACCCTTCTTCGTATCTGATGTATGCCAGGGAGCTGAGGAATGGTGCATGTCCAAGTCTTACCTCCATCTGGGATACAGCTATGGGTTTCTGCCATGGCTTGTTTACAGACATGGGGGCCGACTGTGATCTTGCAGTGTAGGGACAGCCAGTGAGCAGCAGCTTGGAGCCTCAGGGTAGTGTCATGGTTTTCATCATCCAGTGTACAGAGAGTAAAGATGTAAGTTCCAGCGGGTAAGCTGGTGCTAAAATCTTCTTGAATGCAATGTCTTCCCCACCTGTTTGTTCTTGCTCTCAAGGCTTATTAATGAATCATTAATAAGTCACTGGAGAGGGAACAAAGAGTCTTCCAAATGAATTATACATTGGTGATGTGAGGGCGTCTGTTTAGATGGATGATACCAGTTTACATTGGATTTGCATTTTCTGCAAGCCTGTCTCTTTTCATTGGTAACTTTCCTAAACTTTCTTTCTCACCACTGAAGCTTCGCTCTCCACAGTGAAGAGATACTTTTCTGCTAAAGTTTGTGGATGGGTGAGTGGGAGTCATGTGATCAGCACCATTAGGCACAAGAGGTTTCTAGGCACAAGATTTCTGACTTTCAAATGTGAAGAGGAGAGCAGATGGGCTTCTTTTTAAGTGTAAGTGTAATAGGATCACCGAGTGGCAGTATTATGGATGCAAAGTGCTATGTAGCAGTAACAAAATCAGACTGCTAACTGTAGAGAAAATAAATATTGAAGTGTACTACAGGAGAGATAAGACTAAGATTGTTAGGGAGTTGAATTCTCTTCTCCAATATTCATATTCAGTTCTCTTGACCTCGGTAGGGGACCTTTCATGCTTGTGTGGCTTTATTTTAGGCAGATTTATTTTTTTTACCTGATGAAACATGGAATTTTTCATGTAAAAATAGATTGCAATCATGTAAAATGCATTGCAAGAACATTATTTAGATTACAAAATCAACTCAGAAGTTCAGGGATGGAAACTTAACACTCAGTCTGAGAATTTATTTCATCTGCTTTCATGTTTAGCTTGTGAAGTGAATGAGTTAGAAGTTCAGTGTAAAAACATATGATTGTGTCATTAAAGGTTATAATGTGCATTCCAATGAGTAAAGAAGGCATTAAGCAGGGCCTTATTTATATAAAAAAATCATAATTTCCTTATTAGCAATATAAATGGTGCTCTGTTTAGTTTTAGTACAAATTTTGTATCTTTTTATTTAATTTTGACTTAGAGAGGGTATTTTATGTACCATATTGTCATGAACCAAATTTAAACCCAAAGCACTTTGTTTTCTCTTCAGTGGTTTCAGCTACAGTGCTGACAAGCCAGTTGCAGGGTTAGGTTTAGTCCCTAGGAGTTGCTGAAGTGCTGGTATTGTGTGATAGACATACAAGGGAGAAGAGATGGATTTAAGTTCCCATCTTGTCCCCTGTGTTTAGAGGTGAGGTGTTCCTGCCCCGAAGGAGGAGTGTTGGCTGCTGTAGGCATGATCTGGAATTGAAAGTGGTGGCTCTTTTTCTGACTGCTCTGTCTTTCTCTCTTTACCTGCAGTTTGAGGGAGCTATTGCTTTAGAACTGAAATAAGGTGCTGGGTCCTGGGGGCACCAGCTCAGCTCTGTAATTTGTGGTGTTTTCTGCCTCTCCCTGTGCAGTTAGACTTACAGGAGCTCCTGTTCTCTCATGCCATCAGGTACATGGGGTGCCAGTGGTAGATACTTGGTCTGGAAGGTGATAGGAACATTTCCTCTAGCCTAGCCTGGTTCACCTTGCCTTAACTAATCAATCAGCTCTTCAGCATGCCCATCCAGTGCTGTGAGGGAATTATAGGCTTGGGACATCACAATGCCCAGGGGTCAAGGCAGGCTGCCAGTGTTTTTTCTGGGAAGTACAGCTGAGAGGAGGTCAGGATTTTGAATCCAGAGGCACCAAAGCAAGGTACTTCCACAAAGGGAGGGATTTCTTCCTGGGAATAGTAAAGACCTGTGGAGTGCATTAGGCAGCTTAAAATAGGGATTAATCATTTTACTTACTGATATTTCATCACTCATCTTTTTAAAAAATGAATTCTGGCCTTTGAAGGAAAGCTTTTGATTGATGTAAATAAGGCCAAAAATGTGGCCTTACATACTGTTACATACTTACTGTCTTGTGGTACATGCTCAGGAAAACAGTACTCTTGTAACCCTATAGGTAAAATTTTGTACCCTCAAAAGCCAGAATACAAAAAAGATAAAATGTATCCTTTCTCATTTGCATATGTATGTTGGCTGAGTTGTTTCCAGAAATTCAGAAGTCAGTGAAAGTTATATTTTTATAATCTTCTGTGAAACTCAGTCTATATTTGAAGAAAGTAAGATTTGAAAGATTAATTTCATGGGTGTAATTCACGAAGTTGAAAGTGAGCTGGGAACAATTTATCAGTTATCTTAGCTAACTGTCAACCAATTTTCAGCTTCTGAATATTTTAACTAGCAGCCTGTGTGCTATAGTTACTCTTTCGTGCAGTTTGATTATTTCTTTATTCTTAAATAGGAAATTAAGATTCTAGTTTTTAAATTGCTATGAACGTAATTAAGTTTTGGGTTTTTTCCCCAGAGGATTAATGCATTTGAAATTCAGGATTGAAATAGCAGATTGAAGTAGAGTTACTGTGTTACCCACAAATATAGTTACTACTGCAACAGAGTGCAGTTAACTGTGCAGACTCAGGAAAGGTGACATGGCATTTAGAAAAAAAAAAAAAACTGAAGTATTTTTTCTATGTTCTTAGAGGTTGCAACCTGCAGAATAAAAAAGAGTTAGATTTAAGGTACCTCTTGGCTGATTCGACAGGCCGAATTCTATGTATATAAGGACTTTTTGAGTTGTACGCAGCCAAGAAGTCTGATTCATTCAGCAAGTTTTGTCTTCTTATAAATCTATGCAAAATAATAAATAGATTCTCCTCATAATTTCAAGACACACAGCTGCCTGGCTAATTATAGGTAAGAAAAATTCTTTCAGAAGGGAAAACTTTTTAAGACTTTCAAGTCTTTAAAAACAGGTAAAATAGCAGAGAAAATGACAGTGAAATCTGGTGAATGATTTTGCTTTAGAGCAATCATAGAGTTATGAAAATAAATGCAAAAATATTCTCTAAATATTAAAATTCAGAAATACCTTACTTGTTAGTTCCAAATGCATAATTTTTTTTTTTTAAATATTCAGAAGCAAGATGATCACCTGGGAGATGCTATTCAAAATTTTGGGGTGTTACCCTCTCTACCAAATCAAAAGATTATTTTTTTCCTGTAGTATGTATTAGAAATTCCCAAACTGTATATTCTCAAAAGAAATTTTGATAATTATATAACTAGTTAGTATTCAGAATAAGATGTTTGTTTAAAATTGTTCTATTGTCTAGATTGTTTGCAACATAATAGAAATGTATTTAAGATCTGATTTTCACTCTGCCAGTATACTGTGTGTATACATACCCATTGGCAGAATACATGCAGAATAAACATTCTAAGGAATCAACCCCCCCTTTAAGGTACTTAAATCCATTTTATATCATGCCTACAAGTAAAATATGAACCTGCGTTGTTTATTGAGATCACAATTTGAAATTCGTGAAGCATTCATTTTAGCTGGTCCTTTTTTGTAATATAGCTTTCAGATGTGTTAAATTCTTGTGTGGGTTATCTTACTGTAATTAAAAAAAAAGCAAAACTAAGCCATTCAAGGTCAACCCAAAAGCTGGCTCCATCAGCTTTCTCATTCTCATGTTTTTCTTGTACTTTGTCTTACAGGGATTTTTTGTTGCAATTTGTTCATATGTTCTATATGGAAAGAATCCCCCAAAACATCTTAAAGATATCAGAGAATGGCTATGAGATGTGCTGGGCACCTGCCCAATCAGAACCCCTCTGAACCATCAGCTATGCTTAAATCACCTTAAAAAGACAGTGTCCTGTCCTCTACCACTTCTCTTTTTTGAGCTCTCATTCCGTGCGATTGTGTGTCTCGACAAGGATTG